TAACTGTTGATGGGTTTTCTGAATGTAAAGAAAGGAAGTGGAAGGAGGCATACCAAGAAGATAGCAATAGCTGTGTGAGAGATAAGGGAATGATGTGGGTGGTGGTTTAAAATCTCCCAAAGGGGAAGTTCGTAAAATGCAGCCAATATGAATGTTAATGAAAAAGGAATGGAAAATGGAATTGTTGACTCTTTTAAGATTAAAAACAAATTATTGACATGTTAATTAGTTTTAAATGAGAACAAAATTATTGACACCTTGTGATTAAGGAGAAGGCAACACAGCACTGATCCTTTATATTCCGAAGGGAATTAAAGTGTTGATGGGGCGGGGCGCCTGGGTGGCTCAGTTGGTTAAGCAACTGCCTTCAGCTCAGGTCATGATCCTGGAGTCCTAGGATCGAGTCCCACGTTGGGCTCCCTGCTCAGTGGGGAGTCTGCTTCTCCCTCTGACTCTCTCCCCTCTCGTTCTCTTTCTCTCTCTCAAATAAATAAATAAAATCTTAAAAAAAAAAAAGTGTTGATGGGGCTCCTGGGTGGTTCAGTCAGTTAAGCATCTGCCTTTAGCTCAGGTCATGATCCCAGGGGCCTGGAATCCAGTTGCATGGGGCTCCCTGCTCAGCGGGGAGTCTGCCTCTCTCCCCACTCATGCTTTCTCTCACTCACTTTCCCTCTCTCAAATAAATAAATAAAATCTTTAAATAATTATTTAAAAAAATGGGGTGCCTGGGTGGCTCAGTTGTTAAGCATCTGCCTTCGGCTCAGGTCATGGTCCCAGGGTCCTGGGATTGAGTCCCACATCGGGCTCCGTGCTCCGTGGAGAGCCTGCTTCTCCCTCTCCCACTCCCCCTGCTTGTGTTCCCTCTCTCGCTGTGTCTCTCTCTGTCAAATAAATAAATAAAATCTTTAAAAAGTAAACATAAAAAATTATTAAAAAATAGTGTTGACATTGTGCTTTTTCAAAAGGTAGATCTTCTTCATGATTTAGAAAACAAAAAAATTGTTGGCATTCACACTCTAATGATTACTCAAAAAATTAAATTATTGGGGCACCTGGGTGGCTCAGGGTGTTAAGCGTCTGCCTTCGGCTCGGGTCATGGTCCCAGTGTCCTGGGATTGAGCCCCACATGCGTAGTGGGGAGTCTGCTTCTCCCTGTCCCTCTGCCCCTCCCCCTGCTTGTGCTGTCTCTCTCTCTCTCAAATAAATAAATTCTTTTAAGAAAATTAAATTATTGACTATATGGTTTTTAAAAGATTTGAATCGTCAAGACTTGGAGATTAAAAAAAGAACACTGAAGGGGCACCTGGGTGGCTCAGTCGTTGGGCATCTGCCTTCAGCTCGGGTCATGTTCCCAGGGTCCTGGGATCAAGTCCCACATCGGGCTTCCTGCTCAGCAGGAGGCCTGCTTCTCCCTCTCCTACTCCCCCTGCTTGTGTTCCCTCTGTTGCTGTCAAATAAATAAATAAATAAATAAACAAATAAATAAGTAACACTGAATTACTGATCAAATTGTTGACACTTTTAAGCAAGATTTCCTAACTCCCTGTTGCCCACCTGTGAGGAGGGTGTCAGCAGTTAGCCTCCCTCTGAGGCTGGGTGGAGGGCCCCTGAGGATCTACCACCCAACCACAAGTTTGAATTTTACAGGTCTTACTGCCCTTTATTCTAACACTATTTCAGGAAACTGTCCAAGGGTCCTTCCCTGACCCACTGGGAAGAAGTAGTGGCCTGCTGTGGTCTGAGAACACCTGTTAACATGTCACCTGGCACTATCCGTCTGACTCTACATGAATGACGATCTTATGCTGTTTCCAGAAGTTCTCTCATCCTCCCCCACACCCTTGTGATGCAGAGGTCTCTGCTCTGCTTGAATTATTTCCTCCCTTATCCTCACTCAGGCCTTGCCAGACCAGTTCTTGGGCTTTTGTAGGAGCTGGAGTGGGGGGTATGGGCTGGAGGAGAGTTTCCATGGTGGAGGGTTGAGAGTCCAGGAGTGGTTACGGAGAAAAGTGGGGAGTCAGTTGTAATGCGTGGGGAAGGTGGTTGGGAAAAGAAAAAAAGAAGAAGGAAAGTTTTACTAAGTATTGTTGCTATAATCACTTTGGAGAGCAACTTGGCAATTGGTGAAGTTGAAAATGAGCACACCCTCCCACACGATAACTCCATTTCTTGGAATATATCCTAGAGAAACTCTCACACGTTTGTACCTGGAGATAAGTCCAAGGACATTCACTGAAGCACTATTTGTAATCATAAAAAATTGGCCCTGCTGTGAATGTCCATCCGGAGGGGGGAAAGGATAAGTAAATAGTGTTGTGTGATAGGATACTCTTCAAAACTCGCAGCAATGAGCTAGAGATATATAAAGTAGCGTGGGGAGACCTCAAGAGACAATGTTGGGTGAAAGAACCAGGTTGCGGAATAATACATACAGCAAGAAGCCATGACTGCACTTTTTTTTTTTAAGATTTTATTTATTTATTTGAGAGAGAGCACGAGCGGGGGAGAAGCAGAGGGAGAGGGAGAAGCAGACACCCTGCTGAGCTGGGAGCCCAACGTGGGGCTCGATCCCAGGACCTTGAGATCATGACCTGAGCCGAAAGCAGATGCTTAACCCACTGTGTCACCCAGGCGCCCCACCATGCGTGTACTTTTAAAAACCAAAACAATGTAATACATTGTTTATGGATATTATATATGTGATTAAAAATATATATAACAGCATGGAGTGGAAGGGTAAATGCCCAATTCATTTAATTAGTAAGGATAAGTTAGGTCAATGCCACTGTAACAAACACCCCAAGTCTTAGTGGCCTCTATAACAGAGTTTATTTCTTGCTTGTGCTACATGTCCATTAGGGGGCACCGGAGGCTCTGCTCCACATGTCCTCACTCTGGGACCAGGCTGACCTGTAGCCAACCCTTGCCATGGCACAGGGAAAGAGAGCTCTGCAAACGGTCCCACCTCTCAAATCTTCACCTTGGCCAGAGAGAGCCACATGGCCAAACCCTTCACCGGGGCAGGCAAGAATGATCCTGCTATGTGCCCCAAAGGAAAATGAGTATTACTGGTGAACAACCCCACAGCCAAGATGATGTCCTCTGAGTACAAAGGAGCCTCCACCTTAGTAGTGTATTTATTCTTTTAGAAAATATGAAGTAAAAATGTGGACTTTGTTAACGCTGGAGGGAGGCTACATGGGTGTCTCTTATGTTATTCCCCATGCTGTATCTTTTTAAACTTTTTAAAACTAAAAGTACAATTTTCAAGAGGAGGGGCAATGGGGCAAGAGTAATATTAAAAATGATAAACGTGGGGCGCCTGGGTGGCTCAGTCAGTTGGGCGTCTGCCTTCGGCTCAGGTCATGATCCCGGGGTCCTGGGATCGAGTCCCGCATCGGGCTCCCTGCTCAGCGGGGAGCCTGCTTCTCCCTTTGCCTGCTGCTCCCCCTGCTTGTGCTCTCTCTCTCTCTGTCTCTGTCAAATAAATAAATAAAATCTTTAAAAAAATTATAAATGTATATCCTTGCTGGGCTCCTGTTTGCTTTCATGGTACCCAGGAGGAACCCAAGTAAAGGAATTCAGTTGTTTTTATGTTGCTCTTGGCTGGAGGGCAGCAATCTTTTGGACCTCAACAATAGCTCAGTGGGCTCCGACCCTGTTTGTGACATTGTGTGTGCCTCTGAGTGTGTGTCTGCTCCTGGCCGCAGCAGGGGCTCCCAACGCTGTTCTCACATCTGTACTCCCAGCTCTGAACTTGCCACAAAGAAGGTGCCTCGTAAATGTTTAATGAATGATATGCTCATTTCTATCTGAATAATGAGCTGTTTCAGGGCAGGAACCATGTTGTCCTCCCTCTCTGAGCCCTCCTCAGGAACAAGGAATGGATGCTTGTTGAATGAATGAATGAATGAATGAATGAGTGACCACAGCCTTCCTTCCCTAGCCCATCAATGGAAGCCGAAAACACGTGGCCCTTGCCACGCCACCACAAGCCTCCCGAGGGGCTGGCAGGGTCAGTTTGTCTTCAGACTCTACCATGCTTTTACACCTGCACTGAAAAGCCAAAGGTTGTGTGTGGCTATATAGGATGACCAACTTCTTGGGACTCCCCTACATTCACCACTGCGAGTTCTGTGTCCTGGGCACTCCTCCCAGTCCCAGGCACGTCCCAGGGGACTGTTGGTGGCTTGATAGCAACTCCTCTCTTCTCTCAGGGCCTCATGTTTTTCTCATTCTCATGAGAGGGTTGAATCTGGTCTCACCTCTTACATATCAGATCTCCAATTTTAGGAACAGCCTGGAAGTGAACAGGTGAGTCAAAGAAAGAGAGACTCATGGTGGGATTTTCTGAGAGATCTTTATTTTTTACGAAGAATGTGGATCAGCACTGCCACCGAGGCCTTGGTTCTAGTGGCTTGACATGACCTAGAAAAAGTGGAGACACCCAGAATAATCTGGTCAGGAGCAGATTCTGAAGCCATATGGAACTGAGTTCGATTTCCAGCCATGCCACTCATCAGCTGTGTGACCCTGAGAGTGTGACTTGACCTCTCTGAGCCTCAGTTTCCTCATCTGTATAATGGGATGTAATCATAGTACTCATGCAGGCAGTTGATGAAACTATTAACTAAAGATGTTTAAGTAGTTTATAAATGGTGGCTATTACAGCTATCATGCACAATATTAACCCTCCCTGACCACTCATTCCCAGATAAGGTTAACTCTTTCACTGGGGCCTGAGCATCCCTAGTCATAGCTCTCCCCACATTTCATGATTATTGCTCATTTAATCATCTCTTCCCCACAAGGCTGCCCTTTAACACATCGCTCTATCTTTCAGGACAGGAAAAGACCTGGACCGAAGAAGACATTTCCTAAACACTTGCTGAAATAAGGCAATTCAGCCGTGGTTCAAAGCTCCATCCAGAAGCCATTGAAGTTGTTGGGGACACACCGCAGCAGAAAACACCCCCAAAGTCCTCTGAGGGCCCCTCTGTTCCTGACCTTCTGAGATCCTTTCAGCTCCTCCTCAGGATCTGCTGTTCTCACCCAGCCTGGCATGGAGGCCTCCCGCTCGCCCTCTCCCGCTCACCTCCTCGATCCAGTCATTGAAGGCCGAGACTCGTGTGAACACTGTGGGCTTCTTGACGGTGTTGCAGCCGAAGGCAGATACAAAGCTGGTCACACCGTGGACCTGCCAGGAGCCATCTGCTGTGGGGCAGTTGAGGGGTCCTCCAGAGTCACCCTAGAATGGTCAGATAGCGGTGGGGAGCTGAGCCATTTCTGAGACAGAAGGAATTGGTTCTCACCGTGGGGGCTTTGAGAACCCCCTGGGTGACTTGACCTCTCTAAGTCCCAGTTGGCTTGTTTGGGATGGGGACTAAGATCTGTCCTACAGGATCTTATGAGAATGAAGTGTGATAATAAATATATGCTCTTAGCCCAGCACCTAACAGAGAGGAAGCAATCGATAAATGGTAGTTCCCATTATTATTACTACAGCCAGTTATCCTATTATTAATCCTCCTCACTTCTAATGCAATGATAGTACTGTTTTATCATAACTTCAGGACCACGCAGTTGAAGGTGACTTGAGAGATCATGGTGTCAGTATCCCTTGCAGGGCTTCAGGGGAAGCCCGAGGACCTGGTCAAGCGATTTGCTCCAGGTCAGGCCAGTGTGAGCTGGGACCAGAAGCCAGAGGCCAGGGTGGTGTGTCTGGACCACACTTACTCCCTCCAAGTCCTGCCTGGTCTGGAGGCTGAATGGGGCAAGCAGGTAGGATTTCTCGTCTGCCTCCTATAGGCAGATGGCAAAGTCCCCCCCGGGCCCGGCACTCCGAGCTGACTCACGTTGCACCCAGAGACAAGATCCCCGCCAGCGCACACCATGCTCTTCTTCAAGGAGCTGCCCCACCAGTCCCGCTTAGAGCAGTGCTCATAGTCCACCACGGGCAGCAGGGCCTGCTGCAGCTTGTCTGGGAGTGGCCCACCAGCTGTGGGAGACACGGTGCTCAGTGGGGTGGCATGGGGGTGCAGCCTTGGGCCGGGGCCTGCGAGTAGGCCTGGGAGCCTCAGAGTGGGCTCGGGGGCTGGGGAAGGCAACTCTTCTAGGCTGATGGGGACTCTCCTCCCACCAGAGGGTCTGCCTGCTTTGTCCACCATAATGTCCCCAGCACCTGGCACACAGGAGACACTACAAAATGCTCAATTGAACACACTGGTGTTTGGGCAGATGGGGGGAGAGGTGCTCCTGGAGGAGGAATGGGAGGCCAGTGCAAGGACCCATCCCGGTTGTTCAACCCCCACCCCCACCCCCAGTCCCTGTCTTCCTGCCCACAGTCCCTGGGGCCGGCAGGAAGGGTCAGCACGCACTGGAGAGCCGGCCCCAGCCGCTGATGTAGCAGGGCGCCCCGTTGGGCAGGATGTCCCCAGCGGGCGGGAGGCAGGCGAGCTGGACGGCATCTCCCAGTTGGGCACTGCGTGAGAGCTTGATGAGGGCGATGTCATTGCTGGGGAGGAGGAAGGAGTCAGGAAGAGTCAGGGAGGCCTGGTTCTCCAGCCAGACCAAGCCCCACCTTCCAGCCTTAGCTGCAGAGAGTTCACCTCCGGGATATCCTCCCTGCTCCTTTCCTTCTGAATCACATGTGTTTTTAGGGCTGAGAACCTCCCCCATCCCCCTTGCGCCCATGCTGACCCTTGGCCTTCCTAGCTGTCCTCAGCTCTTACACCAAGGTTTGCACACTTCAACTGTGTCAGGATCGTGGAGGTCTCCTTAAAAGATAGGTTGCTGTCCCACCCCAGGGCTCAGGGGGCGTGAGGATTTACATTTCTAACAGGGTCCCAGGTGATGCTGATGCTGCTGGCCTACGGACCACACTTCGAGAACCCCTGCTGTCAGTCTTCATCTGCTTGCTTGTCACTCAAGTCATTGCACCTGGGTCCCCTTTCCTTTCCAAGTACCCCAGGAGTCCCATGAGGATGGGTCAAGGTCATGATCATCATGGCCCCTCTCTCCTGCCCTGCACTTTCAGGGGTTCTGCACCCTTCTTTGACCTTCACCAGAAAAAATGCTGAGCCACGCAGGCACATAATTTTGCACATGCTTGAGGGCTTTGGAAGCCCTGCTTTAGTGTTCTTACCCAGTGATCACCTCCCTGACCTTCAAACCACCCAGGAAACCCAGAAGGTCACCATGACATATGGTACAATTGAGGCACCAGAAGGGCAGTGACTTGCCCAAGCCACACAGCAACTTACTGCTGGAGCTTGACTTTCAGTATGGTGCTCCTCCCTTCGCCCACAGTGCTGGGAACCCAGGATGCACTGGATAAAGGTTGATTGAATGGAGGAACCCTTGGATTTGGGAAAGGGGATGCCAGAGATGTCCCGGGTTCAAGTCAACTAGCCAGGTGGACTTGGGGGAGTTCCTGGCCCTCCTGGGGCCCTGCTGTCCTTCCACAAGGAGAGAGGTTTGGTGTAAATGGTCCTTAAAGGCTCTCCTGGCTCTGACCCTCAGTGTGTAGGACCAGGGCCCAAGATGCTGGACCCAGCCCCACTGTTCCTGGGAGTTTCCTCAGAATCGTCTTTGGGTCACGAGGGGACCAGTAACCTCTGGGTCCTGGACCTAAGCATTCACTCACCCACAGGCTACGCAGTTGGAGTTCCAGAGTGGATGCACGAAGAGGTCCCCGGCATTGATGGGGATCACCTGTTCGGAGCCCTCATCCTCAACCCGGTTATACTCGCCCAACACCACCTGGTAGGTCAAGGAGTTCCTGCCGGTGGAAGTTAGGTCAGTCTAGGCCTGACTGGCTAGCATCCCTCCCCTCCCACAGCCACCCACTGACCCAGCCCTCCTCGTTCTCATGCGGAGACAGGGGCAGGCAAAAGAACTTACGAGATGCAGTGGCCTGCAGTCATGACCCAGTCAGGGGCGATAAGGCTGCCGCCACAGGTGTGGTAGAAGGCTCCATCTTTCTTGTACTGCAGGGAGACCTGGTGGCAAGGGAGGGAGGAGCCTAAGTGGTCTGGGCCCCCAATAAGGACTGATATTCATGGCTGTATAGGTTGTGCACTATACAACTCTAGAGGGCATCATTCACGCAGAATGGCATCCTCCAGAAATGTGCAGTGTTCCACCTACAGGACTATATCATCTATGGCTGCTTTCACACTACCACGAAGAGTTAAGTCATGCAATAGAAACCATATGGTTGACAAAAGCTAAACTATTACTCTCTGGTCCTTTACAGAACAAGTTAGCTGACCCCTGCTGTAGACCAATGCCATCCAATAGAACTTTCTTTATTTTTTCAAGAATTTATTCATTTATTTTTGCGAGAGAGACAGAGAGAGCCTAAGGGGGGGAGGGGCAGAGGGAGAAGCAGACTCCCCGCTGAGCAGGTAGCCCGATGCGGGACTTGATCTTAGGACCTTAGGATCATGACCTGAACTGAAGGCAGCCGCTTAACTGACTGAGCCACCCAGGCGCCCCCCCCAACAGAACTTTCTGTGATGATGGAAAGGCTCTATATCTTGGCTGTCCAATATGGTAGCCACTAGCCATATGTGGCTATTGAGAATTTGAAATGTGGCTAGCATTGAGCAACTGAATTTTAACATTATTTTATTTTAATTAATTTAAAGTTAAACAAACACATGTGGCTGGTGGCTACTGTGTGGGTCTAGCCCCCTGTGCCCCACCGACCTCTATAAAGCCCTTCATTCCTTTAGTGCTCTCAGACCTTGTGGCCTTGTTATATAATTCGAGGAGTCTAGAAATGTCTAGCCCCAAATCTCCCTCCCTAAAACAGTGCCTGAAATTCCACTATTCGTGCACCAAATAAACATTGCCTTCTCCCCAGATTCCACTTCTGATTTGCCAACAGCCCAGGGAGGGTTACGGATTGGGTGGATAAGACTTCCATGTGAAGTCGACTGTCCAAGAGTCTCCTGGTCTTTGGAAGCTGAAGAGGATACTGGAAGCAAAGCAGTGGAGTCAAGACTGAATGCCTTGCAGTCAGAAGAGGGTGCAGAGCCCATGGTGAGAAATAGGGCCACTCGTATTGCTCTTACCTGCCAAGGCCAGCTGTAGGGGACTGCGTCCTCACCATTGACAACGCGGGCGGAGGGCTGGTGGGAAGGTCGGCCACAGCCCGAGGCTGGAAGGGAGAACAGAGACATCAGTCAGCCAGAGAGTCCCCCCAAAACAAAGAAGAGGCCTGGGTCTCAGTTCTAGATGCACCACACGCTGGCATGACCCGGCGTAAGCTCTTTCCCCTCTCTGGACCTTTGTAGCCACGTATGAGCAGTGAGCATTTGGACTAGACCAGGGGTTTCCAGAGTCCCAGGAGGCTAGGAATGGAGATGTGACCTCCTTCCGCAGCAGGATTGAAGGAGCTGATGCACTTAGAACAGTGCCTGGTGCCCAGCGAGCCCTTGAGAAGTGATAGCTAATTGTCATGAAAAGTGGTGGCTTTGGAATAAGACTGCCTGTGTTCAAAATACAGCTCTGCCCCTGCTTCCAGCGTGGGCTACTTTACTTCTCTGAGGGTCAGTTTCTCCATCTGTAAACTGGGGATACTAATAATACTGATCACATGGGTCTGTTACAAGAAATAATTAAAAAAAATATCCTGAGCATTCCATGGCATATAGTAAGCACTCTTACATTACGAGAGATAATGTAAGAAAAGGATTATAAAAGATACATATACAGGATTACAAGGATTACAAGAGATAATATGAGAAAAAATCCTTAGCATTCCCTGGCATATAGTAAGCACTCAATAAACATTATCTGTTACTATTACTGTCAGTCAAGGGAGGCTGCTTGGAGGAGGTGGCCCTGAGCTGGATTATAATATGGCGGAGAGACTAGGAAAAGGCTATGGAAGCTAGCCTTTTCCACAGGATATGGAGTGGGGTAGGGGAAGGAGAGGAGCGTTGGAGGGTTAAGCAGAGCAACAGAAATTCCAACACAAGCCCTCTAACCACAGAGCCCAAACTCTTCACAACCAGATTTTCTTTACTGCCCCCAAATGAGGAGTCCCACCACAGTGCTTTGGGTACTCCAGTCTTTTCTCCTGAGCTGTTCCATCCATGGCTCCTCCGCCATTGTCCTGCCCCAGCACCAAGCTGAACCCCCACAATCATGCCCAGGTACAAGCTGAGATCTCCTCCTGTGGAGCCAGGTGTTGGGTTCATGAGACTCAGGGTGGGTGACAGATTTCAAGGGTCCCTGACCCAGTGCAGCACAGGCTGGGGTCTTACCAAGGGCCACAAATAGGAGCGAACTGAGCAGCTGGAGCATCATGAGCCTTGAGACGATAGGAAAGACACACATAGCCTGCGGCTCTAATATAGGGCAGAAGGCGGATGGGGGGGCAGATTGGGCCCCATTCCCAGAACAGGTGGTGGAACGCCAGCTCTCTCATGGTCCAAGGCCATGGCCCCCGCCTGCTGCCCATGGGGGGGTGACAGCCAACAGCAAGACCCAAGGTTCCCTCCAACCTGTGGCCACACAGGTGGCACTGAGTGGTCAGCTGATAACAGGGGAGGCGGAAGGAAAGTTCTCATTGGAACAAGCCAACGTCTTCCAGGAGAAAACATGGGCTCTGGAACTGGCCAGACGTGGGTTCAACTCCTATAGCTCTGCCCCTCCAGGCTCTTCATCCTGGGGCGCATGGTCTAATAACCTCTCTGGACCTCAGGTTTCTCATCTCTAAGTCAGGAGCTATATTAGTATCCACCTCCAAAAAAAAAAAATTGTTGAGTGCTTTGTCCATATCAGGATGTTCTGGGGGATGGAGCCATGAACGAGACATGGTCCCAGCTCCCCTAGAGCTTGAGTCTAGTGGGGAGACAATGACAAATCAATAAAAAGAAATAAAGACTACTTGGTGTATGTGTGTGTGTGTGTGTGTGTGTGTGTGTGTGTGTGTGTGTAGTTTAAAAAATAATAGTAAAATAAATACCTTTAGTCTCACCACCCAGCTTCAGAAATAAAACATAATTCCTCTGTGTATCTCAACCCTATGACATTCCCTTGCTTTCATTAGATTTTCACATACATATGTATTCCTGATACATACATATGTATTCCTACTACCTTGGCTTTCCTTTTTGGCCCTCTATGTGAGTAGAATCACATAGTGATTATTCATTTGTGATGTCACTTTTATTTTGTGTTCAATATTGATTTCTGAAATCCATCCATGTTGATGCATGTAATTGATTTATTTTTACTATTTAGTAGTCCATACTTCAAATATTCCAAAATCTATCCAATCTATTGTTAATAGATGTTTGAGTGTTACTCATTCTTCTTTTTGTTGTTGTTGTTGTTACTCATTCTTTGCTTTTATGGAAGCGGCTCACATATATCTACTCTATGCCGTGGATAAGAATTAATGAAACATAGGGTATGCAATGGTCCAGCTGCACGGTATAATGACAAAGAGTTGATAGTCTCATTAACAGGGAATGACGGTTCCTGTCATTCCTCATCTGAGCCAACTTTCTTATTGCCATTCTTAATTGTTTGCACAACTGTGAGGTGTGAAATGGTGTTTCATTGTGATCTTCATTTGCATTTAATTTATCACAAATGAGATTGAGCATCTTTTATTTCGTGGTTTTTTAAAGATTTTATTTATTTATTTGACAGAGAGAGAGAGAGCGAGCACAAGCAGGGGGGAGTGGCAGGCAGAGGGAGAGGGAGAAGCAGGCTCCCCTCAGAGCAGGGAGCCTGATGCCGGGCTCAATCCCAGGACCCTGGGATCATGACCTGAGCCGAAGGCAGACGTTTAACTGACTGAGCCACCCAGGCACCGGAGATTGAGCATCTTTTAAAATGTTCATTGGACATCCATATTTCATCATCCATGAAATGCCTATTTATGTCTTTTTGCCATCCCTTTTTAAAAAAAATTTTGTTTGATTTATTTAAAAATTTTTAAAAAACGGTTCACTCGTTTCTCCTACCCGCACCCCGCCCCCCACCTCTTGCAACCACAAATCTGTCCTCTGCATCTATGAGCCTGGGTTTTCTTTGTTTAGATTTGTATATAAAATAGACCATACGGTATTTGTCTTTCTCTGTCTGACTTATTTCACTTAGCATAATGCCCTCACAGTCCATTCATGTCCCAAATGACAAGATTTCATCCTTTTTTATGGCTGGATTACATTCCGTTGTACATATTTCACATCTATATCTGTTTATCCATTCATAGGTAGACACTTAGGTTGTTCCAACATCTTGACTATTGTAACATGGGGTGCATATATCTTTTTGAGTTAGTTTTTTCATTCTCTTTGGATAAATACCTAGAAATGGAATTGCAGGGTCATATGGTAGTTCTATTTTTAATTTTTTGAGGCACTTCTGTCCTGCTTTCCTTAGTGGCTGTACCAGTTTACATTCCCACTAATAGTGTACAACAGTTCCTTTTCTCCGCATCCTAGCCAACACCTATTTCTTTCTTTTTTTTTTTAAAGATTTTATTTATTTATTTGAGAGAGAGAGAGACACAGTGAGAGAGGGAACACAGCAGGGGGAGTGGGAGAGGGAGAGGGAGAAGCAGGCTTCCCACGGAGCAGGGAACCCGATGTGGGGCTCAATCCCAGGACCCTGGGATCATGACCTGAGCCGAAGGCAGATGCTTAATGACTGAGCCACCCAGGTGCCCCAACACCTGTTGTTTCTACCTTCTTGGTAATAGCCATTCTAGGCACACCTGGGTGATTCAGTTGGTTAAGCATCCAATTCTTGACCTTGGCTCAGGTCTTGATCTCAGCGCTGTGAGTTCAAGCCCCACGTTGGGCTTCACAGTGAGCATGGGGCCTACTTGAAAAAAAATCGCCATTCTAACAGGTGTGAGGTGATACTTCACTGTGGTTTGGGTTTGCATTTATGGTGATTAGGGGTGATTAATGATTAATTAATCATGGCAATTAATGATATGGAGCTTCTTTCCAAGTACCTGTTGGCCTTATGTAAGTCTTCTTTGGAAAAATGTCTATTCATATCTCCTGCCCATTTTTTTAATCGGACCTTTGTTGCTGTTGAATTGTATGAATTCTTTATGTATTTTGGATTTTGGGCCCTTATCAGAGATGTGATTTGCAATTATTTTCCCCATTTGGTAGGTTGCCTTTTCCTTGAGGATCCACTGTGGGCAGGCCCTAGGTTGGAGGCCAAGAACATAGAGATTCCCTCTTGATGGGACCCATAGTTTGCCTGGGGACGCAGACTGGATGCTGCACCACAGTGTAATACTTAGAACAGGCATGACACATTGGGTACACATTATGTATTTGCTGAATTAACAGACTGAGACAGAACTCAAGCTAAGATTAGAGGAGCTCACAGGAGGGCTTCAGATGCTGATGTAGTCTTACTGGTTTATTTTTGCCTTTTGCTTTTGTTTTTGGTGTCAGATTCAACCAATCATCACCAAGACGTATGTCAAGATGCTTACTGTTTATGTTTCCTTCTAGAACTTTTATGGTTTCAGGTCTTACATTCAAGTCTTTAATCCATTTTGAGTTAATTTTTGTGTACAGTGTAAGATATTGGTCCTGTTTCATTCTTTTGCAGGTGGCTGTCCAATTTTCCCAGCACCATTTATTGAAGTGGCTGTCCTTTCCCCATTGTATATTCTTGGCTCCTGTGTCATAAATTAATTGACTGTATATGCATGGATTTATTTCTGGATTCTCTATTCTGTTCCATTGATCCATGTGTCTGCTTTTATGCCAAGTCCATACTGTTTTGATCACTACAGCTCTGTAAGAGTTTGAAATCAGGGAGTGTGATGTCTCCTTGTTCTTCATTCTCAAGATGTCTTTGGGTATTTGAGTCTTGTGGTTCCACACAAATTTTAGGATTATTTATTCTGTTTCTGTAAAAAATACCATTGGCATTTTTTTAAAGATTTTATTTATTTATTTGACAGAGAGAGACACAGTGAGAGAGGGAACACAAGCAGGGGGAGTGGAGGCTCCCTGCCGAGCAGGGAGCCCGATGCGGGCCCGGCTCGATCCCAGGACCCTGGGATCATGACCTGAGCCGAAGGCAGACGCTTAACGACTGAGCCACCCAGGTGCCCCTCATTGGCATTTTGATAGGGATTGCATTCAATCTGTACATTGCTTCGGGTAGTATGGACATTTTAACAGTATTAATTCTTCCACTCTATGAGCACAGAACATTTATTTGTGTCTTCAATTTCTTTCCCTAATATGTTATAGTTTTCAATATACAGGTTTTCACCTCCTTGGTTAAATTTATTCTTAGGTATTTCATTCTTTTTGATGCAATTTTAAATGAGGTTGTTTTCTTAACTTTACTTGTTGATAGTTTTTTATAAGTGTAAAGAAATGCAACAGATTTTTGTGTACAAATTTTGTACCCTGCGACTTCATTGAGTTTGTTTTTTTGAGAGTCTTTAAGGTTTTCTATATATAATATGTTATCTGCATATTTTCACTTCTTCCTTTCCAATTTGGATGCCTTTTATGTCTTGGCTGATTTCTCTGGCAAGGACTTCCAATACAATGTTGAATAAAAGTGGTAGGAGTGGACATCCTTGTCTTGTTCCTGACCTTAGAGGAAAAGCTTTTAGCTTTTTACCATTGAGTATGATAACCACTGAGTTAGCTGTGGGCTTGTCATATATGACCTTTATCATGTTGAGATAAGTTCCCTCTATACCAGTTTTGTTGAGAGTTTTTATCATAAATGGATATTGAATTTTGTCAACTGCTTTTTCTGCATCTATTGAGATGATCAATATCTTCGAAAGGATAGATTTTCACCCTTCATTTTATTAATGTGGTGTGTCGCACTGACTGATTTGTGGATGTTGAACCATTCTTGAATCCCTGGAATAAATCCCACTTGATCATGGTGTATGATCCTTTTAATGTATTGTTAAGTTCAACTTGCTAATATTTTGTTGAGGATTTTTGCATCTATGTTAATCAGGGACATTGACCTGTAATCTTTTTTTGTGGCATCCCTGTCTGGTTTTGGTATCAGGTTATGCTAGCCTTGTAAAATGTGTTTGGAAGAGATCCCTCCTCTTCTGTTTTTTGGAAGAGCTTGAGAAGGATTCGTATTGATTCTTCTTTGAATATTTAGCAGAATTCACCAATGATATCATTTGGTCCTGGACTTCTGTTTGTTGGGAGGTTTTTGATGACTGGCTCAATCTCCTTGGTAGTAATTGATTTGTTCAGATTTTCTGTTTCATCATGATTTGGTCTTGGTAGGTTGTATGCATGTTTTTACGACTTTATCCATTTCTTCTACGTTGTCCAGTTTGTCAGCATATAATT